CCGGACGGGGAGTGGCCCCGCCGGGGCGCTCACCGAGCCCCCGGCTCCTCTCTCCCCCGCAGGGCTACTACACGCGCCACGGCGGCGTCGGCGAGGGCGGGGACTTCGTCACCTCACCTGAAATCAGTCAGGTATTTGGAGAGGTAACGCCGAGTTCCTTATTTCTTAAGCAATGTCTTCTCGTTTTTAGGTTGCAGTGAAGCTGGGTTTGGAGGAGTAGGCTGTTTTTCTGGGAGATCGGGGGTTCCTTTCTTGTGTCACAGTTTGGGAGAGTGTCAGTGCTTAGTAACACTTGTTTTCGTATGGAACTTGTTAATAAATAAAAAGTGTTACGGTAGTTCCCCACTGTGGAAGCCCTACACAAACATAACTTCGGATTTTGGTCTGGTTCAGGCTGGTTTTGTATCATCACCAGTAGCAGAGAGTGGCTAAACGCTGTTCTCCACCCTGCCCGGGTAAAGGCACTGTCGTGGGTAACAGCCCTTCAGAGGCTGTTGGGCAGTGACCTGCGCTTGAGCCCGCAGGGAAAGCTCATCCAACCACCAGAGCAGAGTCTTGCCCGTTTACTGAGGGAGAGCTGCGTCTGCGGGGCTGACAGCAAGCAATCACTGGGTTTCATACTTAAGAAGGCAACGTTATGTATAATATTTCTTAACATTAAAACGCAGAGAATGTTGTACGGTGTTGCAGTTATTATCAGACAAAGAATAGATGTGACTTTGCACAAGTTCTGAAGTTATTACTGTAACTCTTGTTTTGTGGTTTTTTTCTTGCTGTCAGTTAATAGGAATATGGTATATTAGTGAATGGATAGCCATGGGGAAACCTAAAGCATTCCAGCTGGTGGAACTGGGCCCAGGGAGGGGCACTCTTACTGATGATATATTACGGGTAGGTGAAAAGTACTATTAACACTCTCCATTTCTGGCTTTATTCTGTGGCTGCTCTGAAACCCGAAGCGCTGAGGTTTTACGGTCAGGGTTTAACCTTCCCTAGTAACCTGATCACCTGAGTCAGGAGATTTGCAGTTTAGAATCTAATTAGGATATATGCAAGCTCCTGCTGTTTGGTGAGGAGATCCCGTTTGGGAGCTGAAAGCAGAATACAGGCTGGTGGGTGCACACTGTGTGGACACGCCATATCATCTTTCAAACACTGCTCAATAGAAGGGGAAGGCAGGAATATTCCATTACCAGGTTATTTCTGTACAGGAAAGCGTTATCCAAATTGAAAACCATTTAGGAGGGTGCTGCTGCATGTAACTGGAAGGGAGGTCTCCGTGCAAGCAATAGGAGAAAGGGGAAGAGGACAATAATACAGGAGTGAAGTTGTGTCGGTTCCTTTGGGGATTTCAGGAGCTTATTTCTTCTGAGTTAACCCTTTCTGTGCTATCCTGCTTACACAGCTGTCTAGTAATTAAAACGCACTAATTCAAAAACCAAATTGCTAATGGGATTTAGTACCTCAGAAGAACTTTTTCATTCACATATGTAAATAGAATAAATAACTCCAGCACTTCTTATTTATGGTGTCTGGGGAAGACTGAACCATTTTTCTCCTAATGCTAAACCCACTGCAGGTATTGGAGGAGCTACTCACTTTCAGGCTATTACTATTCTCAATTGGCATTTCATGGTGCTGCCCTTACAGCTGTACAATGTGCGCTGTGCTTTGCCAACTTAATAAAAGCTGCTAGGCTTCTAACAAAAAATGGTGAAGAAATTCCCCTTTCCTTCTGAGGGAGCAAAATGCAGTCTCTTCCACTGGGACTGTCTGGTTAAATGAAAGCCAACTAAGTATTATCTTGAATTAATGAGATTAAAGGTTAATTCTTAAACCTTTAACGTATACAGCACGTGTCTGTCCCTAATAGAATTCATCTGCCTTTGCAGGTCTTCAACCAGCTTGGCTCTTTACTTAGTAAATGTGATGTCTCTATTCATCTGGTAGAAGTGAGTCCTAAACTCAGCGACATCCAAGCGCAGATGCTGACAGGAGGGAAGGTGCAGGCAAACCCTGAGGATGAGTCTGCTTACATGAAAGGCATCAGCAAGACTGGAATTCCCATTTTCTGGTACAGAGACATTCAAGATGTGCCACCAGGTGAGGAGGTTTAACGTCTTGTCCCAGGGGTAGCGTCCTTCCTCCACTTGCAGCATTTGATAACTGAGGATGTCTCCATTAGCCTTCATAATGGGGAGAAACATGGTATACATACTAGCTCCTCCTTCTCATACGAGTCTGAGGCAGAATCTTGACTTGTCCTCGTAACTACTACCTCTTCTGATTACCTTCATTTTGGGATAGCTGCCCAAGTTAAGATATTTTGACTTTTTCTGTGGGAAACCATTTACTGGCTGTGCTTACATCTCCTTTCATGAGATACGGATCTAAAATTCATGGACAAGAAGCTATAGCTAGCAGTAGAAATGCTGTCTTTGATGTATCCAAGTTGGAAGTAATGATCGTGATTTCCCATCCACGTTAATTAGGTTTAGTTCATTAAAATTCATAAAAACATTTTAAATTTCAACTGCAAGCTGCTATGAAAGCATTCCTGATTTAACGCATTCTTTTTTTATCTTCCCACAGGTTACAGCTTTTACCTCGCACATGAGTTTTTTGATGCCCTGCCAATACATAAGTTTCAGGTATAGCAAGAAAATTATTGTAATTGTGGCCATCTACGGAACAACTTCTGGCTTTGAGGAATAGAATTAGGGTGCCAAAGTAGGCACACGCATTGTTTATGGTGATAAAGTATTTCTAAACTGAACTTGGACAAATAAGGCTTAATTTACATGATAATACAGAGTTAATAATTGCTCTTGAATGGAAAAACTTGTAGAAAGCTAAAGATTCCTTTTTGCTTAGATAAGTCTCAAGTGTTTTCTTATGCTAAGCTTTTCACTTCAACGTTATTTTATGTACCACTACTAACAAAGGCAAGGCTTTGAAGGGCTCCCGTTTGAATGGTAACAAGAATAACAAAATAAAGGCTAGTTAGGACTCAGAAGAAACTTGCAACTTCAATTTTATAATTAGTTTATGGAAATCCATGGTAGACGAAATTATTTTATTGTGAGAAGTTGAACACTGCCAGTAGAAGAGGCAGCATGTTTCTCAACAGCACCATTCATTCCTTTCAAGTATAATTAAACCTGTATTTGCAGACTGGCCTTTGCCACAGACTTTTTTCCAAGGCAGTTACTGGAATTAATTAGAGTGAATAATTGTTGTTAATAGCATATAACATTCTTAAAACTTCTGCAAAGACGCTTGACGCCTCGGTTTAGTTCAAAGCCCAAGCATCTGCCCAGTTGAGCTTGAAATGAGTACTCTGGGTTTGTTAAACAGAGAACGGAGAGAGGCTGGCGTGAGGTGTTGGTTGACATAGATCCGGAAGTTCCTGACCGGCTGCGGTTTGTCCTGTCGCCATCCAGTACCCCCGCAACAGAAAACTTCATTCAGGTAAGGTTACGCCTGCCCGAGTCAGTATGTCCAGCTTACTGCTTCCAGACGCATTTAATGCGGGGTGTTGTAAACACAGAAATCAACACGTGCATAGAACTCTGCAGAATTGGACCTTCAAGGGGCAAAACGCTGCCGAGTGCAAACGGAGGCAGCAGGGTGGCGGGAAGAGCTCCACATTGCAGGGGGCCTGCCTGAGCCAGGGCCATGTACGCATCCAGTGCTGCGGGGAGCTTCCCTGCTCTGCTGACCTTGCACGGAAAGCGGCCCAGGCTTACTTACTCTTTTTGTCTTCTCTAAAGTTCGCTGAATTCCTAAAGTTACAAAATGAAATAGCCGAGATTAAAACCCACTCAGAAATGCCTTTCTGAAGGGCGTGCGCAGCTGAAGAGCTGTTCTTCTTCTGGCGCCGCAGTAGGCGGTTTCACCTGGTGCAGCTGTTCTTGTCACAAGCGTTTTCATTTCGGTTGCCTGGGGGTTGGACGTGACTGCAGTCCAGCACTTGGAAAACACGAATTGAAAGCACTAGCTCTGGGTAGCCTAGAGTTACACCCCTGGACCTCTGTGCCCCAGTGAAGCGGTGACAATCCCAAGACGTCGAGCATGGAAGAAGTCTTGCCCCTGTACTTGTTTGCTAACCCAGGTGTCTTGGTCTTTAAACTCTGCACTAGCCTGAAGAAACGAGAGATCACGTGGAAGTGTGTCCAGAGGCTGGTGTCATCATCCAGAGGCTTGCCTCTCGTATAGAAAAGGATGGTGGGGCTGCACTGGTTGCTGATTATGGTCACGATGGAACCGCAACTGACACATTCCGGGTAAGTCACCCTGAAATATGAAGCCAAAATACTCTTTTATTGGTCACTTGGATCATTAAGTTTTTCTAAGAGGAAGGTCCTGGGTGGACATAACAGCAAAAGCCACATATATGCTGCAGTCATGAAACTGAGTAATTGAGTTCTTCTTTAATCAGTACACAGAAGGCTTTGTGCCGGACAGAAAGGGTAATCTGAGCCTGTGCTACATCTATCCCAGACTTTCACAGTACGGTTTGCTGTTCCCACAGGCACAACGCAGCCTTTGCTAGCCCCAGCTACAGTAAGAGAGGAACTGAGTGTGATCTTCCAATGTCATTTTCCAGGGTTTCAGGAATCACAAACTCCATGACGTGCTGACAGCTCCAGGTACAGCAGACCTGACAGCGGATGTTGATTTCAGGTATCTTCAAAAGATGACAGAGGGAAGAACAGCCATGTTAGGCCCCATAAAGCAGCGGGAGTTCCTAAAAAACATGGGCATCGACCTCCGATTGCAGGTACAGTACTGTTGACGTGTGCATAAACTCTCCTAGTCTGCCAGCAATACTCTTGAGCAGCAATTTTACAAAGTCTGATTTTAAAATAATATGTAAGTGTGAGATCAAAGAGCTGCTTCTCCTAGATGTAAGTTACTCTGGATCCCTAAAGTAAACTGGTCATATTACGTTTAAGAGTATTTAATGTAAAGCTTTGCTCCAGGGATCCCACCTCTTCAGCTGAACGCTCAGTCGCTGTTACATCAGTGAAGAAGACGTAACAGATCGCAGCTACAAGGGAAGTCAGGAAAGCAGGAAGGGCTGCAACTTCCATTCTCTTTTTCCCAGGTGCTCTTGCAGAATTCACGTGACACAGCAACCCGCGAGCAGTTACTTCACAGCTCTGACATGCTGATGAATCCCGAGAAAATGGGGGACCGTTTCAAATTTTTTGCCCTGCTGCCTCACCACCGACTTGCCCCTCCTGACAACAACCAGAAGCCAGAATTGGCGCCTCCCTCGCTGCCTGTTGCTGGATTCGGTGAACTCTTACTGAAGTGATTTCAGTACTACAGCAAAATGTCTAATACAGTAGCTTTCAATAGCAAATTATTAAATTAAAATAACCCCACACGGGACCATAGTGCTTCTCCTTTGTTTGTATGATTTCATGGATTGTTTTGCAGTAAGCATATAGCTGTGTACACAGCAAGGAAAAAAATTAAGTATTTTGAGTTATCTTTGAACTGAAAGCACATAAAACGTCACGTTACTTCTCCAGGCACTTTCCACAGCAGCCCTCACCTCCGGGCCTAGCCGCGCTGGGAGGGAGTGCTCCCTCGGAGTAAATGGAGTGCAGCACAGTGAACCTGTCGGCTGACCTGCTCCAAGCAGTACGTGTACAAGTGGAACACTGGACGTGCTGTTCCTTCTCTGCTCCACGTGCGCTGCAGGGGACGATAGAGGTGAGTGAAGTGTTTACTAGTGCGATCAAGTTAAAACTTGTCAGTGACAAACACGTGCTAGAGGCGCGGACTGTACTCGGCCTTGGTACTTGCTTAAAACACAAGAGGCCCTGACACTGTTGAAGGTACTTTCATACAAGGAAAGGAACCATGCAGAAAGAGTTACTAGTTCTGAAGTACCCACTAACAGCATTCCCATAGCAGGGCCTGTCTGGTGACAAATCCACAAACAAGGAAGCACAGAGAAACATTTACTTCCAAGAACATTTGATAGGAGAGAGAATTCATATAAATGAAAAGAACAAGTCTGATAGGGAAATAAATTTTATTTTCAAGCTTATCAGAGGATATTTACAAACAAGGGGATGTATAAAAATATAAAAGTACTTGACAGTGTCCTTTTGAGGCTATAAATTTTACATGAGCGTTTTCCTAGCATCATCATAGCACTATTTCTTGAATGAACGCCACTGAATTCATGTAGGGGTGAGGATATGAAACACTGTGACCTACTGCTGTCAAAGGCTGCAGTCAGGGCAGGGAAAAAAGGGAATAAAACCCAGCTATTTTTACTACTTCAAAGCAGGTTGACTCCTAACGTACTTCTGATCGCTTTGGTTCCTCGCCTGTTAGCTGCTTGTGGCCCTTTAAGTGTACACGGTCAGGCGATCTCCACAGGCCAACAGCATTTTTTTGATAATACAGCTTGAAGAATAAATAGCTCATGTAATATTGTGGAGCAGAGCAGACTTCAGGGGGGAGAGACATCAATCAGGCCTTCTACTTCATCACTGTCCCCGCCTTCCTCTATTCCAAGATGGCTTCTCCCTTAAAACAAGACAAACAAACAAAAAAACCAAACCCCCAGGAAAACCTGAAGTGACAGCTCAGGTATCAAATCTGAGGTGTGAAACCAGACTGTATCTACGTTGTTAGAGCGAGGATGGTAAAACGGAGATGGCTCTGCCGAGATTTCGGTCGCTTGAGTGGTGGAAGTTAATCAAAAGCACTGCCTCCCCTGCCAAGCCTGGGCAGCCACAGACCGCCGGCTTCAGAGGTGATCGCTCTGGCTCCCCAGCTGGCAAAGGGTGCCTCCCTGGAGAGCCAGCCCTGAATCCCTGCCTTAATGAGACAGCAGGGTTCAGGATTGATTCAAACTCTGCCCCTTCTGTACTGCTCTGCACTGCCTTGAAGGCATAAAAGGGGGAGGGTAACTTCCGGTGTAGGAGGGGGCAAATTCCCTGCACAAACCTGAGAAAACGTGTTGGGAGAGAGGACGCGCGGTGGTTGGAAACGCTCTGCCTGCTGCCAGAAACTGCCGTACAGATGGCCCCAATGTTGGCACACGGTGTGGCACATCCTAACGGGGAGGCTGGAGTTCAGCCTTTCCCAACCTGCACACGTACACAATGCAGTGGCCGTTAGACAAAGGGCAGCGGGGAAAGGAAGGGTGGGTTAAAGCCCCAAACCTACCCGTGGGTACATACTTCTGCACCTGCCACTGACCCTACTGCCAGGTCACTGTCACCACAAGCAGCCGCCAGCCCAGAAATAACCGTGTACAATTCTTTCTCTGAGAAGAGCCTGCTCACCTGCTTCCTTGCCTGGGTAGCGCCAGCAGAGAAGCAACACTGGTCTATACACACACCTCCCAAAAAAAGAAATCTCTGCAGGGGAGAGGAGATGCCCCAAAGCCTCTCATGGACTTTGCAGTTCACGCCTGTATCCTTATTTTAAAAAGCATTTCAACCCCAGCTCCAGTGAAGCAGCTTGGCCTACCAGGGGTATGTACAGCCCTCCAGCACCTTCCAGCAGCACAATGCTGTTACCCCACCCAGATGGGAAGATCTCACCTTGTCTGTTTTTTAAAATAGGACACACACAAAAAACCCTCCTCTATTTGCATTTAGTGTTCACAGCCTCAATCCTCTTTGATATACCACGAATTTAACTGCTACCCTGCCCTCTGAGGGAATCGCTGTCCTCCGAGGGAATCGTTTCCAAAGAATGCTGCTGCTCCCTCTACTGTGCCACAAGCCCAGTAAGAGGTTGGGCATCCATCAGCTGAAGCCTCTGCATAAAACCTGGATCGGGAGGTGGCTTTGGAGTGGTGGCTCAGCTCAAACAACACGGCTGAGCGCAGAGAAGAGGCGACGGGGGCGCCGCAGGTTGTGGTCAGAAGGCAAAGCCCCTTCTCCCACAGTCCAGCTGCCCTGGCAGAAGCAACAGGTGGTTTATGTCCACCGTTACTCCGAGGTTCTGAGCAGAGTTAAGATACAAGCTAGCAGGCTATAAACTACTCCTGATGTACGTCCAGGGAACCTTAAAAAAATTAGAAAAATATTAGAAAAGTTTAAAAATCTAATTACTCCAAGAAAGCTGCGTGTTATTTTTCCCTATTCCTCCACATCCTTCTGCTAGAAGCTGTTTTTCCAGAGCGAAAGGATACGCTACATCAAGTCTCGTGTGCCCCCTGCGCATTACTGGTGTGGTTTTAAGGCGAAACGCCTTGGGTGCGCACCACTGCCCTGCGCCAGCCGCGCCACACCCCCTGCTGGGGCGTGTTGCTCTGCTTTCCCAGACCAAATAAAGGACCAGCACAGCTCTGATGGTCATCCCCCTAGATTGTCAGCCAGCATTTCAAGAGGAATGTAAGAAGTTACAGGGTTTTCTTTTGCTGGGGCATGTGGAAAAGGTTCAACTCGGGCAAAGACGCATGTATTTACCTGTCACAACAGCAGCACATTATTCCTTTGTCTGTGAAACTATTCGACCTAAACCATTGGATGTTGCTATTGGCCAAGGTATTCTGCACCCATTTCTTTTACAGTGTCTTTTCCCCGTGCACAGTTTAGGAAACGGGAGATGTATCTAAGTAACAGAAAACAGTCCTCTGTGGCCTAGTAAATAGGGATTAGAAAACCATTACAAAATTCTTATTGTGTAGGCTGGGGGGGGGGGAAACCCCGACCTTGAAAAACACACAAACCATTCGATCTGTACCCATTACACCTCAGAAATGGCTTTGTAGCCGCAGAGCTTGGTGAAATGTCACCCGGCGGGGCTTATCCCCAGTAACTTCTCGTAGTTTTAAGTCAGAGATGGAGAAAAGCTTGTCAAACGACAGTCAGTTCCCACGCCAATTCAGGATCCTCTGGGGCTTCGTACACGGAACTGTGTGTACAGCGTTCAGAAAGAGCAACAGCTGTTCCAGAACTTATCCTCAGTCTCTGTCTGGAGCATCCTTCCTTATGCCATTGAGCATAATAGGTAAATCAGGGGTCCTCTTCCATGTCATCTGGATTCGGAGCCATAATGAAATGCTGGGGGTACTCAAGGTTGTGTTCATAAGCGTGTTCTTTCCAGCGTGCATCATCGCTCTCGTGGGTAATGTAACGCTCTCCAATGCGCGTTTCAAATTCTCTGAGGTCAAGCCACGTCTGATAATCCTAAGGAGCGAGAGGGATTTAAGGAAGCAGTTTAAGAAACAGCAGCACTACATTCCCATAGATAAATTCTGCAGTTTGTCTCCCCTTTTAGTATGAACAGCCACGCAATGGCATCCATCCAGGCTGGATGAGGCTTTGAGCCCCCTGGTCTAGTGGAAGGTGTCCCTGCCCATGGCAGGGGGGTTGGAACTAGATGGTCTGTACGGTCCCTTCCAACCCAAACCATTCTGTGATTCTATGATGTAATCAACAAGATCTGTTAACTGCCGATCCAACCCCCAAATACCCCAGAGTATCCACAAAGAATGGTTAAAAACTGAACAGGCTAGTATCTGAGGTTGGAATACTGTAAATCATGAAAATGTTTAGGAACAAGACAGCTATGTTAGCTTTTTCAAGAAATTAATTGCGTATATACACCTACATGAAATTATCCTCGTTCCAATATTGTTGGTTCTCAGAATTAATTGGATTTTCCCCTTAATGTCTTTTAAGTTAGCCGTGTGCACGGATATGTGCATGCAGGATCGTGAAAGGAACCCGCGTCAAGGAAGCGGATCAATTCCTTTCCACACAACTCTTCCAAAACGCCCACAAGACAGAGCGCACACCCCCTCCCTACGCTGACGTCAGTGGGAGGCCATGCGCTCATCACTCATTCAGGAGAGGTGCCAGAAGGGCGAAATCTATGCTGCTGTCAGCCCAAGTAAGGGGTGGGAGAGACAGTAAGGCAAATTTTTCCTTGAGGGAAGAAGCCATCACCAGATGGGCAGCAGCCCGGAGCACGTGACATGCAAAGCTTGAAACACTCAACCGTCCATGGGTGCTTGTTAACAGACTTTCACAGTGGCAGTTTTAATAAGCCTCAGAAGGATTTAATCCAAAAAATCCTTATTCACCCACTATAAATACAGCGACAAAGGCAGATGGGTTTACCTGTAACCAGGGGTGACTAAGGGATTTGTCAACACTGAATCGTTTCCTCATCTTCACTTGCAGCAAATTGTTTATTAAATCAATGGCTGACAAAGAAGAACAGAAGTTACATCGTTTAAAATACTAATCACCTCATATAAACGCTAATCACCACATTGGAGAGCTCCAGAGGCCAACCTTGTAAACTTTTAGGTTGTTCAGACCTGGCACTTGGGTCCAGGT